CCTGCTGGTGTTCCGAGGAAGCCCGGCATGACTCGTGACGACCTTTTCAACATCAATGCCGGCATAGTCAGGGACTTGGTTTCTGCTGTTGCAGATAATTGCCCTGGTGCTTTCATTCAAATTATCAGCAACCCTGTGAACTCTACTGTGCCTATTGCTGCAGAAGTTTTGAAACAGAAGGGTGTCTATGATCCTAAAAAGCTCTTTGGTGTTACCACACTGGATGTTGTGAGGGCAAACACGTTTGTTGCTCAGAGGAAGAACCTGAAGCTGATTGATGTCGATGTCCCTGTTGTTGGGGGACACGCTGGGATTACCATTCTTCCTCTGTTGTCGAAGACAAGGCCCTCGGCGAGTTTCACTGATGAAGAAATTGAGGAGTTAACTGTCAGGATTCAAAACGCTGGAACTGAAGTTGTTGAAGCAAAGGCGGGTGCAGGGTCTGCTACCTTGTCAATGGCGTATGCAGCAGCTCGATTCGTTGAATCGTCTCTTCGCGCGCTTGATGGAGATGGGGATGTGTATGAGTGCGCATATGTGCAATCAGATTTGACTGACCTTCCATACTTTGCTTCAAGGGTGAAGCTTGGAAGGAAAGGAGTCGAGGCTTTAATTCCATCTGACCTCCAAGGGTTAACTGATTATGAGCAGAAGGCTTTGGAAGCACTTAAGCCAGAACTCAAGGCCAGCATAGAGAAGGGGGTTGCTTTTGCTCAGAAGCAAGCTGTTGCTGCTTAACTTTCTTTTGTCAGCGGGTAGTTTCTTGGGTTATATTTTATTTGAGCATAAATACTAAGAGAATTTTGGTTGCGGATTTATTGTAGCATCTTTTCTGCTTCCAGAACTTAGGATTCAAACTTTTTACAGTATCAATTCTACTTAAATTACTAGTTTTGTTGGTAGAACGGAAGGGAGCTTCCATTTCTATTCTCTATACCGAGCTTAGGTTTTGATAAGAAATCTCCAAAGATATCACAATTATAATGTAGAATTGGAAAAATGTAAACGTTGCATTTTGAATAATATGGACATTGGACCAGTTTTTGGTTTTCTGTTGAATCTTTCTGGTTCTAGGCACGCTCTCATTTTCACTAGCAGATTTTAATCAACCATACTAGCGTGATTGAGCTTACAATACAGTTTTCGTCATCAATGCCACATCAATGTACCCTTTAGTAGATGGATGCAAATGATCTGTGCATAGAAAAATCTGTAGTTTATAAATAACTGCATGACGAGGTGTTTCAATTATACGACTCATGGATTGTAAATTGTATTTATAATCCTTTATTAATCAAATATTTTTTACGGTCAGGATCAATTAGACTCTCATAACATTATTACTCTATTCTCGTAGCCCCTATAGCCAAAATGACGAGAAGGATTTAAGAACATAAAATGGGGGAAAAATTGTCAGATGCTGTTTTCTGAATCAAATGCATAGAAAATTGACTTTATTGCCGTTCCTTTTATAAAATATTGACAACAAAAAATGATTATCGCTCAGAGGATTGATCGAGGGTTTCTCGAAAGATGATAACGGATTGGCAGATAAGGAATGCCAATCTCAAACAAAAATCCCTTCTGTCTAGGGGACAAACCTTCCTTGTCTCGTGGCAAATGATCCTTATCCTGTATTTTTGTACTAATCCAAAAATAGACCTCCTTCAATATAAGCAAAACCTCTCGGAAAGAAAAAACAAAAATATTCTCGGATAGCAGGTTTCATTTTGCTTCAGGTCACTGGTGTTTGGCAGGTGCCTGACACCGTGATCTGCAGGATCAACTTTGAATAATCTATCCACCGAACCTCAGACATATGCGAAGGTGCTGCTGGGGTGCCATGAAATAATAGTCTAAAATAAAAGCAATGGTTAGCTAACCTTCACCAACCCACTTGAAAGTTGAAATGCAGTTTAAAACCTCCATAGTAGTTTTACGTATGGCAGCATTCAATTAAGCCAAAATTTCAACAAAATTTTACGATAAACCAGCCGTAAAGTTAGCCATTCTCCGTTTGTAGTAGCCCTTGTCAATCATTCACTAACACTCGGTGCTCGATATGATACATCTATGACCATCCCATGATATCCCTACCAATAGTCGCTACATGAACAGTGCCCTCCCCTGAAGTGGTGAAACCGATTATGGTCCCTAAGAATTACATCACGGTTGTAAACCCCAGAAAAAAGTTTCAGAAAATTGTGGCAGTCAACACATATACGGAGATTATTGGCCACTCTCAGTGTTGTGCCAGGTGGTGTAGCAAGAACCCCAAAAGCAATGGCCAACTTTTCACTGTGGTGAGAGAGCACATACCCCTTTTCTTTGTCATCCATCTTATGTAACTCGGATGAAAGTTCAACAACATAACCAGCAATTTTCAGCTGCTTATTAATCTCATCCAGTGTCTCGTAAATTTCATGATTTCTCGAATGTGAAACGTCGTCCACAACAAACTCGTGTACTATTCCTTTCAATTCAATTGTGCTACAACCAGGTGTGGTTTGGATTGCTTTATCTTTCATCAATTTTCTCACCTCTGCTACCTTTTCCCAGTGTCCAGCAGAAGAATATATATTCAAAAGTAAAACATAATCCCCTGCTTCTTGAGCCTTCAACTCAATCAAATGTTCAATTACTCGTTCACCAAGTGTAACATGGCCATGAATTCTGCAAGCCCCAAGCAGGGTCCTCCATATTGTGGAATCTGGCTTCACCGCCATCGACATTATAAGATGATAAGCCTTGTGAGGCAAGCCAGCACGGCCCAAAAGATCAACCATGCAGCCATAGTGATGAACGTTGGGAGTTATTCCAAACTCTCTGCTCATACGGTCAAAAAATGACATTCCCTCATCAACCATTCCAGAATGACTGCAAGCAGAAAGGACACCCGTGAATGTCTGATCATCAGGCCGAATGCCAATTCTCAGCATCTCTTCAAAAGCTTCAATAGCTTCTCTCCCATATCCATTCTTCGCCAAACCAGAGATCATTGCACTCCATGAAACCACACTCTTATCGCCTGTCCCCTTAAACACTTCATAAGCCTTATCTAAACAACCACACCGCGAATACATAGATACAAGAGCATTAGATAAATTGAGAGCACCCCCATAACCACGTTCCACAATATAACCATGAATTCGTTCACCAAATTCCAAGGCATTCAAATGAGCGCAAGCCTGAAGAAGAAGCAAACAAGTAACATCATCAGGCTCACATTCATATCTCGAACTCTGCATAACATCAAACAAACTCAAAGCATCCCGAGTCCTATTATTTCGAATACAGCACGAGATCATGACGTTCCAAGCAACAGTGTCCCTCTGAGACATCTCATCAAACACCTTACACGCATCACGGCCCCTCTGGCACTGTGAATACAAGTCCATGAGAGCAGTGAGCAAAAGGGTATCAGATTGGTGCCCGTCTTTGAAGATGTTGCAATGAAGCTGAATCCCTCCAAGAAGATACAGAAACGTTATGCAAGACTTAACAGCAAAGGAAGAGGATAAAGGGTCTGCAGCAATGCCTCGTCTTCTCATGTCTCGGTATAAAAAAAGAGCCTTTTGCGGTGAATGACTGATGGAAGAGGCCCTGATCATGGTGTTGTAATGGGAAAGCAAAGGGTGGCTGAGTTGCTGAAAGAAGCGGTGGGAATAGGTGGCATCTTGCAAAGGACCAGAGAGAGCTACACGGGACAAGAAGTGAAGAGAAACAGTGGGGTGTTGAATGAGCTTTGTGCGTATAATGTGAGCGTGGATTTGGAACAAATGGGTCTTATGGCAAACGGATTTTATGGCAGAAATCAGCGGTTCTAAGGCCATAGGGTGAACCAATGCTGTAGCTTAGCTTCTTATTACATTTACATGGGAGTGGAAGACCTTACCCAAGCATTCTTTTTTTAATTATCTTTATTATTTTAAATTCATTATATTTCTTTTTCTTTAATTGTTTCTCACAAAATAATTAATGTTTAAAAAGGATAATACTAATCGTATGAGAGCTAATGTTATACATATTCGCCAATGTTAATTAGAAAGATAAATTAATTTCCATTCTATTATTTGTTGATTAAAAAAATTGTTAATTAATTAAAGTATTATAAGAAAAAAAGGGATAAGTAACAAAGTGACAAAAGTCTCGTAAATATAAAGAGAAAAGTAATATATTTGTAAATCTTTATTTTTAACATGTCATTAAATTGGATAAAAAAACGTGTCATTAAATTCTATTTCAAAAAATATTAGTTTTATGATAAGTTAATGATATCATTATAAGCCATTTTAATATAAAAAAACGTTATTATATCATTTATCACATCAATAAAATGTCATATTACAAGTTTTATGTTGGTATAATGTCATGTTATCATAATCATATAAAAAAATTGTTACATCGGTAATAATAACATGTAGAGGAATTAAAAATAAAACAGTTATAAGATTAAAAATAAGATAAAATATAGAAACAAAACTTATAAAAAAAAACCAAAAGAAAGTAACATTTATATGTATGAACAAACATTTAAATCTTAAATATAATGTATAACTAACATACACAATTGAACACCTTTTAAGCTCTGACTATCTTTGTTGTCATTACACATTATGGAACTTATTATCATAACTTTATGAATGTTTCATTTGATTGATTTCTAAATAAATATATTTTTTTTATAATTGTCGCATTGTTCGAATTTATAATTTCATCTATACTATTTTAACTTTCTATAACTTCATAAACATAATGAATAATGAATAAGTTTTTATTTTATATTAATTTTAAATATAATTTACACATTATATTTAAGTGTTACAAAAAAATTGTGCGTGTAAATATATCACTTTTTTTCCTCAATTTTTTTGTCCTTTATTTTTATTTTTTATTTTTTTATATTTTAACTCTTGAGAATATATTTCATTATTTTTTTTTTTAGTTTCTCTATTATAACAATGACAAAATATTATTTGTTGAGATAACAATTTTTTATTAGACATGTTATCGGTAATGTGATATTATAATGATGTGATATATATATATATCTATATTATTTATC